CAAAACTCCGCATTTGAACAGTCAATAGCAAATACTTAAACTAATAACTAAACATACTTACAGTCGCTGATTCAGAAGCGCCAGATTGTCATAGCAAAGTCAGAATTGACCCTTTTTTTAAATTATATTTTTAGAAATAGCCTTGTACTCTTCTAGGTTCAAAAAACTGTCGTGCATAAAATGCGTTGCACAAATTTGAACATCTGGGTTGTGCTGTTCTGTTGTAAATAAATCTTAACCATTGATTCCTAATTGCATCTACTTCCGGAAGGCCAAATAAAGTGCTTTTGCTTTCGCACTGAATCACACAGCATCTCCCTGACATGCTGCATCAACACTACTGCTGTTCCTGAAACCACGCCTTCTTTCTTTGCGTGCACATTTGGGCGGCATTATGCTAATATTTCCACATATTGACGTAGAGAACGAGCCGTTTTAGGTAGGCGTGGCTGACTCTGAACTTTTATAAAGAATATCTCTTTGGATTTGAGACTTTAGTCTTTGCAACTTTACAGATCTTCTTTATGCACCAAGAGCATGTAACACTCCAAAGAGAAAGGAAAAATTGAAATCGCATCATATGACCCCTTTAACTATTTAAAGCTGTTGGTAAACGGTGATCTTGCCGGTCTTCCAGGCATGCTGCTGGCCATCTTGGAGAAATGTGGTGCGATTCCTCAGATTAGCTCTCCTGAGGTTTCTGTGGGTGAGGGAACCGTTGCAGCTGGATACCAGAACTTCATCATTTGCATCGAGATGTTCTTTGCCGCCTTTGCCCTGCGACATGCGTTTACCTACAAGGTCTACATGGACAAAAGACTGGATTCCCTTGGTGAGCTTTAGACCTTTGTTTCTTTGTTCATGAACAAATGGCATATGTTTTTTCCTCCATTATATTTAAAACAATGTTAAAAAAGTTTACACTACAGTTAAAAAGTTTGGGGTCGGTAAGATTTTTAAAGTTTTTGAAAGAAGGTTGCATTTACTTAATTTTTTATAATGAAATATTATTACAATAAAAAAAAATATTTTCTATTTTATTATATCTAAAAATGCAATTTATTCCTGTGATGGCGAAAATGAATTTTTAGCAGCCGTTACTCCGGTCTTTAGTGTCACATGATCATTTGTTGAAAACAGTTTTGCTGCTTAATATTTTTGTGGAAATAATTGTTTCAGGACCTTTTGATAAATATCCTTTTTTTTTTTATAATTTTTTTTTACATTATAAATGCTTTAATGTCACTATTGATTAATTTAATCGATCCTTGCTGAATAAAAGTATGTATTTCAAAAGTAAAAAACTTTCAGACCCCTTTTTTTTACCCTAATCGAGGAATGGTTTATTGAAATTTCAAGAACAGTCATTCTCTCTTAACATTTTGTCACAATCATAATGGGTCTGATGTCATGGCTGACTTTCTCTTTTTTCTTCTGCTTTTCTTCTGTAAATTATTAATTCCTCAATCCAGTCATTGTTATTTGTTCTTTCAATGCATTTTTTAAAATTATTTATTTATCTTTTCACATCTTGCTTTCAAATTATCTTCATTTATTTGCTCATCCCATGCAACACCCACGCATCCACCCTTCCGCCCCTTTCCATCTTTTTCTTTGTGTCTCCTTTTAATGCTGCACTCTAAAGGCCCTGTTCCTACATATGGACAGTACGGTAGGCTACAGTTCCTGATCTTAAACCACATCTCCTCTCTATTTGATAGTGTAGGGACAGTGAACTCTTAAAGGGATAGTTCACCTAAAAATGCAAAGTCGATCTTGTGTTTTTCCTCTCTTTCTCTGAAGCGTCTCTTCCCTCATGCCATCATCCATCTCTAATTAAGTTCTCTGTTCTTCTCAAGGTCGCTGTGCCCCCATGAAGAGCATCTCCAGCAGCTTGAAGGAGACCATGAACCCTGGAGATATGGTTCAGGATGCCATCCACAATTTCTCCCCAGCCTACCAACAGTACACCCAACAGTCCACCCTGGAGCAGGGGGTCACCGCGCCGCCCATATCCCGCAACCACAGCTGCATGAGTGCCCGGGACAATGAGAAAACCCTGCTGCTTAGCTCCGATGATGAGTTTTAACTCGCTCACCTGTCGTCCTGAGCAGAGGTACTTCGTAAGGGACCGTTTACTGCTACGGTAGTGTAATGATGAGGTTACGTTAACATAGGAACAGGTTATTAAAGGACTATCTTAAGCAAGTAGTTACGTTCAAGTGCAGTAGAATATGAAATTAAGCTGCTTATACTTGCTTAGTTGTTGAAACAGTCTTTAAAGAAAGATCTTGATGTGCTTTTATCTGATAATGTTGAATCGTTTAAATAATACATTCATCTGTACTTTTAGCCAAATTTTGAAAACCCATATGGTCTGACACTTCAGCATTTGCATTGATGTATTTTTTTATGCTTGTTGTAGTTTTACATAGGGGGTGTTAGGACATCCCAGCATATTTATAAAGAGCAGTGTATTGGAGGACCCCCATTCGGTGGGAATGTTTCCGTTTTTGATTTACAAGTTCAAGTGCACCTTTCCTTCTGTTTCAACAGTGTTTATAGCTTCCTCAGTGATTTAAAGTGCAGTGGTGAATGAAAGAGCGCACTGACAGTAGAGGGAATACCAGCTGTTCAAACACACCGTTGTTGTTATGACGGATGAATCAAGGGACGGGGAGAGGTTGATGGTCCACGATAAGATTACAGATTAAGGTGGTCTGGATTATAAAGATGGAACATTACTTGCCTGTTGCAGATTAGCACAGGCTTTCAGAAAAGTGTGACCATCCTGGACCACTGCAGAAAAAGCATCTATCTAGGTTTGCTGAGCGGTTTAAAAGATAGATTTAGGCTACGCTTCTTAGTTTATGCTAGACTTTCACTGAGAAAGAACAGTAAAGTACCATCATCTTATCCGTATTCTGTTGTCTGTTTGATGGTAATGCGAAATTTGTAGAATTTGAAAATTTAAAGGAACAGTTCACCCAAAAGTAACAATTGTCGTCATTTATTCACCTTCATGTCATTCTACAACTGTTTCTTTTGTGAAACATGCAAAAAAGAAAAAAAAAATTGGATTGTTTCTGAACTTCATACAATGAAAGTCAGTGGGGTCCAAATCAACATTGAACCTTTCGTAAAGAAACACAAAGGCATATTTCAAAATATCTTCTTTTGTTTTCCACCGAAAGGAAATCATACAGGTTTGAACAACCATGTGGGTGAGTAACTGATGACAAAATTGTCTGTTTTGAACTCTTTTTAATAGGTATTTTTTCTAGCGGTCCCACTAAAGGGAGGCATATCTCACAGTTCACACCCTTTATCTTTATGGGACCCGCCAGTTATCACTGATCCTTTGAGAGCCACACCAAAGTCTCTCCCATTCTTCAGAAGCATCCGCCATTTGCGCTTTACCTTCTCAGATAGCACTAGGCCCTGAAAGCTTGCGGTTGGTTAGATAGCATCTTTGGAGTTACTTATTAACTGTCCTACACTTTATTGATACAATAGAGGCCAGTATAAACACAATGCAGCTGGAACCAAGTACGAGTATGTATAGTTACCTGCTTATAATGTTAGTGTTTTGTAGTGTATTCTTTATAAGGGGAGGATTTCTTTTAATAATATAGATGTTATTGTAACTTGCACTAAGCAGTTTTGTATATTTAGGAGAAGTTTGAATATCCTAGAACATTTTGGCCAGTTATTTCTGTATGTTAATATTCAGAGAGTGGTTTAAAGTAACATAGGAATCGCTGTTACGTTTAAAATATATATTTTGTAAAAACATATTTTGAAGTTACACTAAGACATTCTTTGTACGATCATGCTATTTTAAACAGAGCATTATGTATTACTATGTCAAAGATTTTGCTTCTATTTTTTTCCCTTGATGCTCTGGCCTAGGACACATTAAAGAATGTTGTCTGTAAACGTTTGTGCGATTAGTTTTTACTCAGTGAATACACACATTTCTATATACAATATATACAACATTTATTTCAATTAAATGATATAAAATAGACAATGAATTTACCATAGAAAAATACAGATAATAAATACAAACATCAGGTGTTGTTTTTTTTTTAAGCTCTGCCCTCTTACAAAACATTCAGCACATTGTTCTGAAGCACAAGTGTCAGGGACATGATATTACCAGGTAAGATTCTCAGTACTGAAAACAACATTGCTAACTACACTTAATAAAAAAAAAAATCACCAGAGATATCCACGTTTAACATGGCCGATCATTACTTGATCACACAGTTTCACCCTGTTTACTGAAGTAAACCAGGCTTGTAGTCACCCTGATGACCACGGGTTAATGTGATGTACATGTGATATTATTTTTGTCTTTCACTTTCCTTCTGTCACTTTCTTATCCTCCTTTTTTCCCCTCCCATGTGAGCTGCAAGTGCTCACTTCTCCTTCTGGCTGCTCTCTTCCCCTTTGTCCTCTATTTTCACATCTTCCTCAGATTCCCCTTCTTCTCTCTTTTCCTTCTAATGGAATTTTTTTAATATTCCAGCTGTCCAAAATATTCAGATACGTTTTGTCTTTCACTTTCCTTCTGTCACTTTCTTATCCTCCTTTTTTTCCCCTCCCATGTGAGCTGCAAGTGCTCACTTCTCCTTCTGGCTGCTCTCTTCCCCTTTGTCCTCTATTTTCACATCTTCCTCAGATTCCCCTTCTTCTCTCTTTTCCTTCTAATGGAATTTTTTTTAATATTCCAGCTGTCCAAAATATTCAGATACGTTTTAATCATAAATAGCAAATAATATACATGGTCTTGGTTTTAAATACAAAAATACCACTACAAACAAGTCGCTCTAATATTAGTACAAATATGACCCTCACACGTACTGAACCAATTACGGGTAATAAGGCTGTATACCTTACCATTACTAAACTACTTACTCATTACAACAAGTAAACATTACCAAAAAAAATACACAATAATTAAAACAATGACCCCAAACTAGTCGATCAGAAGTAGTATTTAGACCAATCACAGCACAAATTACCTTCAAACATCTTATTTCGAACACAAATAAAATAGCTTTTATGTCTGTTGTTGAACATTTGTCTTTTATACAAACATTAAAATATATAAATGGCATGTATCAATAGATCTGCACGTTCTCTAGTCCCATGATTCATTAATACCATGGAGATAATCCAGCAAAACTAACCAGCTTCCGAAATGTTGAAGACAAGTTGTTAGGACTATTTTTTTTAACATATATCACCATCCAGAAAGCACAGTAATGGGCATAAATAGCATTAAAGCTATCATTAGCAATAGCCTTGTGCAGACTTATACACTTGTCATGATATTCGAGGCCACAACAACAGTACTGAGATTATTCTTGGACATTTATAAGACTATATACAGTCTCTGTGTGTTATATATATTTAAGTGAATCTGTAATTCCCAACTGGTACTTGTTTTTCTTCCTGTATATGTGAGTATACATGGTCTGTGCGATCATACTGTGTACCTATGTGTGTCTGCGTATCCATGCGAGCGTGGTGTCCTAGGATGCTCCTTGCTCTCTAGGGGTGTGCACCTGCTGCGGTGACTTCACTATGGTAATGACGGAGGCTGTGTTCATACGGGGTGTGGTGGCCAGCAGACTGCCTCCTCCGGATTCCAAACCTCTGGCAAAGCGCTGCAAGGCAGCGAGACGGGCACCCAGCCCTTCCAACTCCCGCCGCATGCCTGCGTTCTCGGACCCCAGCCGCTCCACCTCCCGCTGCAGCTCCTTCTTCTGCTGCTCCAGGGCTTCACGCTGGGACACGCGCTTTACCCGACAGCTCGCCGCGTAGCCGCGGTTTTTCAACGTGCGCCGCCTCTGCTTCAACTTCTGCACTTCCTCGCGTGACAAACCGCGTAAGTGCGTGTTGAGCTCGCGCACAGACAGCGACATGAGCTCACTGTCGGACAGCACTGGGACGTTCTCCCCGCATTCCCTCTTCACCTGAAATAATGGAACATTATTTGCATTGTAAAAAATATTCTTGGTAAATGTTACATTTACTGTAAAAAAGGCAACTATGGTTGCCAGAAAATTCACTGTAAAAAATATGGTAAAATGTTTCGGGTATTACCGGATAAAATATTGATGCCTGTATAGTTTTCAGCATATAACAGTAAATTTAAGTGCTATAATGTTATTTTACTAAAATATGCTATTTACCTAAATGTACTGACAACCACCGTAATAATAGAGATGGTAAAATAGAAAGCCACATGCTGAATCAGAGTTCATCATAAGTGGCCTGTGCATAAAACAGGACCAATACTCCTTATTTAAACTGTTCACAGGGCTATACACGAAAACAAAATGCCATCAGACACTAAAATAATACAATTAACACTTGCTAAATAACAGAAAAACACCCGAATGTACATTACTGATAACAAAAAAGAGAAGAGAAGAAAAGAATCAAATATAACCATGGGAATGTCCTTTTTCCCTGTATATTATGTGGCAATCACTGATCTATATAATGTCCTCTATTATAGATCAGTGGTGGTAATTCATAGTTTTTGCCAGCAAATATGCCATACATTTGACAGTATTTTACAGTAAAATTACATAAAACGATGGTACAACATTTTTGTGACCCTGGACCACAAAAGCAGTCATAAGTGTCAATTTTTCGAAATTGAGATTTAAACTTCATCGGAAAGCTGAATAAATTATTAGGATAGGAAATTGTTAGGATAGGACAATATTTGGCAGAGATACAACTATTTGAAAATCTGGAATCTGAGGGAGCAAAAAAATCTAAATACTGAGAAAATCGCCTTTAAATTTGTCCAAATGAAGTTCTTAGCAATGCATCTTACTAATCAAGAATGAAGTTTTGATATATTTATGTTAGGAAATTTACAAAACATCTTCATGGAACATGATCTTTACTTAAAGGGGTCATATGGTGCGATTTCAATTTTTCCTTTCTCTTTGGACTGTTACAAGCTCTTGATGCATAAAGAAGATCTGTAAAGTTGCAAAGACTAAAGTCTCAAATCCAAAGAGATATTCTTTATAAAAGTTAAGAGTCAGCCACGCCTACCTAAAACGGCTCGTTCGAACACGCCCCCACATGTCTACGTCACGCTGGCCAAATGTTCACGCAAAGAAAGAAGGCGTAACTTTTATTCTCGCTGTAGTATTGTTGTTGCCGCCACCGCAAAAGAGGACGATGGAGCTGATCCGTGCTGGTCGCTGAGGAAATACATCAACTTTGCACTGTGGATCGCCGGATTGGCTTTCACCATGGACAAAGCGGAGTCCAGCCCGGGGTCGTCACATGTGGTTGCCGCAAGCCCGCCCGCTCTGCTCACTCAAGCCCCCGGCCTCCGCTCACTCTAGGCCTCGGTGTGTGATGCTGTGTTTCGTTGTGAAAGCGAAACTACTTTGTTTGGCCTTCCAAAAGAGGACATGACTAGAAATCAGTGGTTAAGTTGTATTTACAACACTGTTCCAGAACACTTCAACCCAAATATTCAGATGTGTCCAGCGCATTTTATGGAGGACTGCTTCCTGATCCTGGAAGAGTAGACTACAATGCCGGCTGTTCTGACTCACAGACTGTACGTACGTTTTTTTATATTTAAAGAATTTGCCACTGACGATTCCAATGCAAGTTTTTTGGGCAGTGTAGAGTAGGGCTTGTTGTTTGTCATTTCTCTGATCACAAATGCAGACATGGTTTTATGTTTACGCGTAGCGATACGCAACGCGTAAAAGACAGTACAAGTCATTATAATCCGTAATTATGTCCCCACT